GTGTGTGCATCAGAACAAGGACTGAGCTGCTCTTTCCACGTGAAACTGAGACCACTGCCCACCACCTCCGGAGTTTCCTCGACAGCCCTGGACATCACAGCTCTGGGGCTTGCCCCACAGAATAGGGGCTGCAGCGGTTCTCAAGCTCTGTTCCAGAGAACCTCAAGCAGCAGTGGGAGGAGCTGCAGCCAAGTAATTCAGTATGGGACAATCTTTTCTTTACTTCACTTACTAATGTGCAGTGGAGTTTTCTAACGTTGTAGGAGATATAAGAATCAAACTGGGGCTGGTGAGATGGCTCAGTGGTCTAAGGCACCTACTTAGAACAAGCTGAGCTAAGCAAAACACAGAGACCACTGTTCAATCCCCAGCACCACATGCCAGCCAGCCCCGCCCCCTGGTGGGCTGAGCTGGCCACACACACACACACAAAATAAATAAATAAATAAATAATCTTTAAAAAAAAAAAAAAAGAATCAAACTGTTGGGGCTGGGGAGATGGCTCAGGAGAACAAGCACTTGCCTAGCAAGCTCAAGGGCCTGAGTTCAATCCCCAGTTCCACACACACACAAAAAAATCAAACTGTTTCCTATAAATCCAGATGTTAAAATTATTTGGGGGGCAGGGGGAAGCTGGAGCCAGGCATGGTAATGCACACCTGGAACTCAGGAGGCTGAGGCAGGAGAATCATTTGAGTTTGAGGCCAGCCTGAGCTATATAGTGAGAACCTGTCACAATCAACCCTCCAAAAACAAACCATGCCATAGATATTTTCACAAAAGGTTATGTTCAAATGCAATGGGTGTGTCATTTTTAGATAAACTGTTAAAATTTCTCAAGGTCTCACTGTCAGCCTGCTCTTGAACTATGTAGCCCAGGCTGGCCTCGAGCTAGTCACAATCCTCCTGCCTCAGCCTCCTGAGTGCTGGGATTACAGGTGTGTGCCGCTTTGCCCAGGTAAAATATCTCAACTTCAAATTAGGTACAAATAGGAAGATATAACCCTCATTTCATTAAGAAAAACTCTTTGGTCCTCTGTAATGTTAAGTGCAAAGGGGCCCTGAAAACAAAAAGTCTGAGAAGTACTCAGAGAAGCGTTCTGAACTCTCAAGCTCAGAAAGTAGATGCGGGAGTAGTGTTTAAGGGCCAGAATATATGAACAGAGAGGCCAGGGCTACAAACAGGCAGCAAGATTTTCTACTGATAAACACAGATAAAGTCTTTTTGTGTGTGTGTGCAGGGTCCCACTATGCAACTCGGACTCGTAGTGATCCTCCTCTTGATTTCTTCCTCCCTAGTGCTGGGATTACAGGCGTGTGTCACCACGCTCAGACTCCATTGCTGGCTCAGCACACCCAGGGGCAGGGCTGGCGCGGCATGCAGTGCCAGGCATCAAACCCTGGCCCTTGCACTTACCTAAGCAAGTGCTTAGTCTACTAAGCTACATCACCAGCCCTAACACAGGTACAGTCTTAAAAGTATGGTCACTGGGCCAGCGAGATAGCTTAGTGGACTAAGTGCCTGCTTAGGCAAGCACAGGGATCAGGTAATCTCCTGCACCATGGGCCACACCAGCCCCACCCCCAGGAGCGCTGAGCCAGCCGCCGAGATTGGGCGTGGTGGCACACACCTATAATCCCAGCACCGGGGAGGCTCAAAACAGGAGAATCAGAGTCTGAGCTGCATGGTGAGACCACATACCAAGTACATTAAAAAAAAAAGTATGGTCACTGTAGACACTAAATGACAAATAGCAGAGCATGTCGATGGCCACTGGGACAAAGACTCGGTGAAGGGCCACTGTCTATTATACTTAAATTATCCCCTCTGAAATCAAGTTCAACAGAAAGAGGCCTAAGATTTATGACAGTAGGCCCTAGAGTTAGCACTCTCAAATCTTACCACACAGAAAGAGCTTCGCAAATAAATAAAGAAAAAAAGTGAAGCCAAGCATAGTGGCACATGCTTATGACTCCAGCCATCTGGGAAGCCTGAGACAGGAGGATGGGGAGGGAAGCAGAGAAGAAGAAAGAAGGTGAATAAATATACAAACGAGATTATGTAGTTGCATAATGTTGGGAGAAAAATGGCTACATCAAGAAAGGTAGCCAGGCGTGGTGGTGGTGCACACCTGTTATCCCAGTATTTGGGACGCTGAGGCAGGAGGATCACTGCAAGTTCGAGACCAGCCTCGGCTACAAAGTGAGTTCAAGGCCAACCTGAACTACATAGTGAGACCCTGCCTCAAAAGACAAGACAGTCGCAGAGATGACGTTAGCTATGCTGCAGTGATATCACTATTCTTTATTCTTTTTTTTTTTTTTTGGCGGAACTGGGGATTGAACTCAGATCCTTGCGTTTGCCAGTCAAGCGCTTATCCTACTGAGCCATCTCCCCGGCCCCACTATTCTTTATTCTCAGTAAAGCTCCTTCCCCTCTGCCACTTGATCTTCCTCAGTCTGCTGAAATAATTTTATGGAATAGCAGTCATCGCACCTCAAGCTTGACATCCTAACCTCAGAGTGACCTAAACAGAATTCTTGATTCCAGCTCCATGTCCCCCATAAAAATGTGTGCCTGCACACTCTAACTCCACACTGCTCCTGAACTCCCTCACGCCTGTATCAAACCCTTCAGCGCTCTATGGTCCTGCCTCTCAACTGGACTCATCTTAATAAAACCTACCTTGTCTCCCTGCTGGGTCTGTCCCCCTTCAACCTATCCTCCCCCATACCCAGAGGAGTTTCCTAAACATTCTAAGCAGATCACATTATCATCTGTCCAAAGTCCCACTGCACTCAGGACAAAGGCCAGGCTCGAAGCCCCTGCAGGTCGGCTCCACCACGCGCCTATTGCCTGGTGCTCCTCCCCGGGCTTGTTCCCACCCACTCTCCACAGCAGGCTCCAGCCACCATGCCACAGCTGTTTTCCTCCCCTTGGGGTCAATTCCCTGCCACCTTCCACCTTCTCCAAGGTCACCAGAGCGGGAACAGAGCCCTTCCCATGGTCACTGTATCATTTGGTTTTCCTTGCTTAACAGCGCTTATGATGTCATCTTCTTTACTTGCCCCACTGGAGCAGGACGTGTTTTCCTGTTCATCTCTGTGTACTCCATGCTTAGAAATGCAAAACCAGCCAGACATGGTGGCGCACACCTGTGATCCCAGCACTCAGGCGGCTACTGTTCACCTTGAGTTCAAAGCCAACCTGAGCTAGAAAGACAGTTCAAGGCCAGCTTGAAATGCATAGAGAAACCCTGGCTCAAAAAAAAGTGAGACCAGGGGCCAGGGAATCGCTCAGCACGGCGGCTGCCTGGAAAATGGTCCTGAGTTTGGTTCCTAGTTAATAAAAAATAAATGAAAATTTTAAAAAAATGAGACCAGTGCTTCACCACCAGAGAACTTTAATATTAAATATTGAGTAAATCACACACTGCTGTTACAGAGGTTTTTCTTGCCAAACTGAACTCAAGGGGAAAACAAAGTGATTAATGTATACATACACACAAAAGTGTATGTTGTGTGTGTGTGAACATACATATAAATGTGGCTACTAGGTGACTACTAGGCCACCTAGTCCTAGGTATTCAGAAACAAATAGGCGGGCTGGGGATTTAGCTCAGTGGCATGAGACTGCCTGGTAAGTACAAGATCCTGAGTTCAATTCCTGGTACCAAAAAAAGAAAGAAAGAAAAAAATAGGCAAACCGGTGCAGAGCTGATTCTCCACACTGAACTTCCCAGCTCATGTAAACTGTATGTTTGGGTTTTTTTTCCGGTACCGGAGATTGAACTCAGGACCCTGCGCTTGCCAAGCACAGATCTTATGTTCATGCGAGATAACATCTTGATCCTGCATTTGTTTAAAACTAAATTAACAATGCTTATGACATAATATCATTTTTCAATCGTGCTTAAAGTTTATAAATATAGCAGGATCCTCTGATGAGAAGCTGCAGCCAGTGAGAATTTCTGGCACACAGTACTAGCTCAGTAAGAATTTATTCAGTGAATGGTATTTTAATGTCTTCTAAGTGTGTCATGTTACTGAAGAAATAGTCTTATTCAAAAAATAAAACTCAAGTTATACAACGAAGTAAAAGAAAAAATCGGAATTTTTAATAGTTGACACAAGTCAGTTTTATTATATTTCCAAGGATCTTTTCCCCCTGTAACTGAGACAAACTATTTTACATCACTTTACAACAATATAACTTAGTTTTTAGTATTTTCAAAAGGGAAATATTTCTTTGGGAATTTAGGAAAGTAAATACTATACAAAGAATAACTAGAGGCAGTTTTTTCAAATATAA